CCAAAGGCCCACCATGTGGCACGAACCCGCGCCGGGGGGCTGGGGGCCTTTAGTCCCGGTTGGTGTAGGGTGAATATTTTTTTAGTAATGATGTTTTAAAAGATATGTCATGCACAGTCTTTAATACACGATGATATTTTGTAATTACATGTTGAATATTTTTATACATGATGAACACTTTCAAATATACGCTAAAAGGTTTTGAATTACATTATGACCAATTTTGGAAAACATAATGATTTTTTACATATACACGATTACATTTTTATAAACTCCAATGAAGGATTTTAATACACGATGAACACTTTCACACATTTGAAAAATGTTGATGTAACTATCAAACATGTTAAGGCATGATGAATGTTTTGATATTACCAGATGAACATGTATGAATTACAGTATGAATAAATTTTACTGCATGAAAAACAAGTTTTACAATACATCATGAATTTGTTTAAAAATATGAGTTGATTTTTTTAACATGGTGAATATTTTTAGTACACGCATAAAAATATTTTTGAAGTACACATGAAAATTTTGTATATCCACGAGCAGTTCTTTGATGTATGTGAATATTATATATTTTTAGCACGTGTATTAACCAAAAGAAAAAAATTGAATTAAAATGCACTCCTTTCGTTTCTAAATATAAATCCTTTTAGATATTTTAATATGGTCTCCATACGGATGTATATAGATAGATTTTAAAGTGTAGATTCACTCATTTTGCTCCGTATGTAGTCCGTAGTAGAATCTCTAAAAAGATTTATATTTAGGAACGGAGAGAGTAAATAAAACCGAAAAAGAAAAGAAAAATAACAATATAGAGTGTCCGCTCCACTAGTTTTTTTATTATTTACGAAATGCGCTCCTAACTTTTTCTGTTTCGTGAAAGTGTGTAGGTATAGCTAACCGCAAGATCGCGAGTCGTTATGCACCGGCGTCGTCAAATCAGACGGCGAAGTCACCGTATAACAGTGCTGGACGCTAGGTAGCTTTTCCTCTTATCCACGATCCCATTCAATACCCGTACCAACGAGTCGTTGTGTCATTGGAACACATAGTGTAAGCAGGCGAGCTCGGGAGCTCTATCGCCGTTATTTACAGCAGCATCTAGAACCGTGCATGGCTGTTTTCACATAGGAGTAGTATCTTTTATGTACGAAACCGTGTGCCCATTTTTTTCTACAAAGAGTCAAAGAGGCAAGAACTAAATAACATCTACATTAGCAGAAGGGCGTTCAGAGTGTAAATAGAGTTAAATTTCCAGTCAAAATGCTAACACCTATATATATTTCTTACCGAAGAAGGGTACAATAATTCAACTTGGATGAAGACAACGAATAAACAAATAAGATGGCGACACCTATGCGGATGTGCGCACAAACTCAGCCCGACACGGCATGGAGGGTTGTACTAGAATGCACGTCTGATAGCTAAGCTTAGAGCACTAGAACTGTCCCGCGGCTAACCTGCAAATGGCTGAGGCCAACTCATGCACTGAATTCAGATCGGATGCGAAGACTCAGTGCACGGAAGAAGGCAAGTTGTGTCGTCGCTTTGCATAGAAGAAAGGGTGCAAGCGGAAAGGTTTCCATGGAGCCTGTTATTAATTTTGGGCTATCTTGAGCTATGCATGCGCGTGTACGTAGCCTCCGAAAGCGATCCGTATGGTACTGGTACGTCGTCGTCTATTGGCCATTCTTGTCCACGAGTAGAAATAGTACGTGTTCCACCACTGGCTGGTGACTTTGATCTTTTCGGTGCATCTCAAACTTCATCGCCGTGTTGTGGAGAGCCTTCACTAACTGTGTGAACGGTCACGACTTTGGCAGCTGTTACGTATCCCAGAGAAATTTGTAGATATTATATACTCCCTCCGTCTCAAAATAAGTGTCTTGAGCTTAGTACAAATTTGTACTAGTGATAGTACAAAGTTGAGACAGTTATTTTGGGACGGAGGAAGTATATAGTATCTCCAAAATGAAATCGAACCAAAATATACATCAGTGGCCACCACTTCCCATATCTGAACACAACCAACGCAATGCTATATAGCTCCTCGAGACCTCAACCTCAAGTCAAGTGTATGTATCAATTCACACTAATAACATCGTATTACATGATGAACTTCGTACGTACTTATGTTACGGCCTTACGGGTATGCATAATTGCACATCATACGTAATATCACTTCACTTTACCACAAACAAATTCGATATGCATCACTCGTTCACTGATGAAGCCCGTCGATGGTATCTTGGAAGCACTTTTGGAACCTCTGCATGCCAGCCGCCGGCAGGGAGATGCCCACCTCGATGCCGCCGCGGCTGCTCCGGCCCTCCGCCACCGCCATCGCGCCGGTTCTCGCCACGGACACGATCTCTACCTTGGCCGGCCGCCCAAACCCAAAGTCTAACTCGTACACACGGAACCTCGGCGACCCGGCTACCGTCCACATACCGGCGACGCCAGCCTCCCTGACCCGGTGCATCCACAATGCAATCGTCTCAGGTGACCCGATGCCGCGCACGGCTTCCTCGATCGCCGCAGCTACGGCCGTGCACGCGACGAAGAGGCCGCCGGCGCCGGCTGCCGCGAGCTGGTCCATGGGTGCGGCATGCGTGGCGATGCCGACGCAGTTGCCGAGGTACTCGCCCGGGACGGTGGGCTTCATCCGCGAGCGGTGGTCGACGGGGAAGAGCAAGTATGTCGGGTCGCCGCCAGTGCTTCCTGCTTCTTTGGCTCGCTGGTGGCATGACCACATGAAGCCGAAGGTGGCCACCAGCGAGGAGCATCGCGTCGCCGGCGCGCCTCGTCGCGCCGCCTCGCTGGCTACCACGTCCTTGACACGCTGTATGTCATCTTTGGACAGCGTGAAGGTGGCGAGGAATCGGTGCTCCCACGTCTTGACGCGATCCAACTCGCCGGCGGTCGGCATGGCTTTCACGAAGACGTCGTAGAGACCCGTTGGGTCCTTTATGAGGGTTCTGTCGATGACAGGGGGTGGCGGCCCGACGACGCCGGTGCTGGCCGCCGCCCAGGTGTGCAGGAAGCGTGTCGAGGTTGCCCCGTCGCAGGCGGTGTGGTGCACGGCCATGCCGATGGCGACGCCACGGCGCATCACGGTGGCCTGCAGCGCGAGCACCGCGCCGCCCTTGGGGAGTGGCGGTGCGAGCGGCGCGATCCTGATGATCTCCCTCGGCTGGTCGACGGCCAGCTCGTCGACATCAACGTCATCACGGTACTCGGCGACGGTGAAGGTGACGCCGTCGCCCTGCTGGTAGTATATCTCATAGCAGTCAGCCGTCCCGGGCGTGAGGCGGAGGCGGCCGGCGAGCGGGTAGTAGGCGTGGAGGGCCTGGGACAGTGAGGTCCTGAGGTTGGAGAGGATGGCGGGGACGTCGGCGTCGTCGGCGAGGTGGTAGAAGAAGACACGCTTGACGGGTGGGAGGTTGAGCCAGAAGACGTCGAAGAATGTGAGCGGGAGGGAGGACTCCGGCGGGGCGGCGCCGGTGCTCGTCCGGGGCGCCACCAGAGTGGTGTCTAGGACGATGAGAATCGGAGGTGGCGAGGCTTGCTGCGCTAGCGCCATTGCCGCTGTAAGGTATGTGTACTTGGTGATGAAGCAGAGCAGCTATATATAGCCTCGTCGCGTTGGATGGGCTGCTGAAGTACTCACGCCATCTTAGAGGGTGTTTGTTTCCAGGAACTTATTGATTTAGGGACTTAAAAAAGTCCATATAAGTCTTATCTAAACCAAACAGGAGGAACTTATAGAGACTTAAAATGGGCATTTGGGACTTATGAAATAAGACTTTCAAGGAGAGATTTATAGGGACTTATAGTTGTAATATAGTCTTATAAGGACTTATAAGTTCCAGGAACCAAACAGGTAGGGACATTTTAGGAACTTGAAACTTATAAATTGGGACTAAAAAAAGTCGTAGGACTTATGAACCAAACAGGGCCTTAATACTCCCAGTCCCAGGCTAGCGGAGGCCATCTCCGACGATAACGTGCCAGTTTGATGGTGGTGCTCAGCGGAGGTAAATACAATATGATTTCTCCACAGCTAGTAAGTACTATTTGTTTAAGAAAATTCTAATGCTAGTAGATTTCGAGTTGAGTGAAGTCTGAAATAAATCTTAAAGTTGTAGAGGCCGATGTAAATGGACCCTCACCTTCGAAACCCTGAATTTGGTAACCTGTATTTACGAATCCCTGTCAATCCCGACCCTGCATGACTAAAAAATTGTTTGGTGAAATAGGAAAGGCACGATCCCAGCCGGGATTAGTTTCTACGCTGACTTACTACGTAGGCGGTAGGCCCACCTGTCATATGCATCTCTTCACAAGTTCACTGCCCAACCATGTGCAACGGCGGCGCCGACGAGCTGCTCAACAGTGTGCTGCACCTGGACAAGCCCGGACCGATGGAGATCGTGGTCAGCGACATGACCGTCAATGCCTGGGGGATTCTTCTCACCAAGCTCTACATCGTGCTGCAGGCGGACTCGTACGTCCGACCAGATGAGCGCGCCGGACAGGGTCGGCTCGGCCGTCGACGCCATTGCGGACGAGCTGGAGGCAGAGGTCGCTGACGCCATCAAGCCTTGCCGCGCCCAAGCCGACATCCCGTAGGCTGCACTCACGTCCGTACGTCTCTGCACATGCATGCACGTACGCATCCATGGGACCGTCCCACCCTTGGACGCTGCGTTGCCACTGCCGCACCACCATTTGAAGCCACGGAGCCATGCTTTGGTTTCATGCCCGACGCCCTTTATGCAGTTACTCGCAGCTACCGCGCCGCCGGCCGTTTTCATGCTTGCATGCGCGTCGCCGCTCTCAGCAGTCACCGATTGGACGCGAACACCATGACCCATTGCTAGATGGCCAGCCCCACGTCCGAGCTGTGTGAGTCCTCGCCGCCACGCCAAGTCTCCACCGCTATCGCCGCCCACGGCTCACCCGCGTGCTACCGCGCTTGCCGTCGCAGCCTCATCCGCATCGCGCATCGTGCGAGGGGCCTGCTGGCCAGCGTCGCGCTCCGCCGAGACCCAGTTGCCCGCCGCCACCACTGTGTCTGGCCACGAGACCGAAGGACTCCAGCAGCCGCCACCTCCCATCGTCGGCCCAGACAGGGTCATCTCGGCTATCGGGGCCAACCAGTGCGCGGCTCGACCAACCTAGAAGAAGAGGAATGAGGGACCGACAGTGGAGAGGGAGAGGGGATCAGGACGAGCGGGAGGATAGAGGAAGAAGAAGATAGAAGGAGAGAGATTAAACTGACTTGTGGACCCATACCGTCAGTGAGCGTAGCGGCTGAACCCGGCTGGGATTGTTTCTTTTCCCAGTGAGCCAAACATGCTTAGGGTTAGAATAGACCGGGATCTGAGAGGTTAGGGTATGAACTTCAGGGATTTAGAGGTGAGGGTTCATTTACGCCAACCTCTACAAAGTCAAGGTTCATTTCAGACTTTACTCATTTTGAGTTTTCCGGTGGTCACGAGGCCCTTGTTGCCTGAAGTGAGCAAAAACAAACTAGCTTAGCTAGCTAGCCATTCGAACGTGCTCTTGACTCTTTGTAGGAAAAATGGGCACAAGGTTTCATAAATACTATTTCTGTTTCTAAATGTAAGTCTTTTTAGAGATCCAATAAGAAACTACTCATCGTGATGGATGGGATCGAAACTGGAGAGGAAGAGAAGTGGACGCAAGCATGAGAGAGGGAGAGAGTGAGCTAGGGTTTGAACTCGCCGCCCGGATTGGAGTTTCTTGTGGGGTCGGTGGTGGGCCGGGCCTGTCAGACGGACAGGTGTCCGGGCCGCCCCATATCCGTCCTATATTTGGGATGGATATGAGGGGTGCTGGTCAGTTCAGACGTTTGTCCGCGGTTTAAGAGGTCCGTTTGGATCAATTTTTTTTTGACCGGACTGTCTGCCCGGGCGTTTGAGACGGGTATGAGCGGCCCAGTTGTAGATGCTGTAACAAAATGCTATCACTTCTAGGGTATTTTATTTCACAAATAACTACCAATTTGAGTTAGTTACCGCTTCGGCAAGTTTATGACATTGCGGGCCCACCCATTGGCCAGGGTTGACGTGGCACAAATAGTCAACTACATTACTTTTGACCATTATGACATTCTAGGAGGGCTGAAATGTCAGCAACCGGGTGGGTTCCACCTGATAGTAAAATAACACAAATTTATTAGAATGAAAACTGGTCTGATCCGGGGTTTAAATCGGCGACCTGGAGTTAAACAGATGGGGGCCTTCACATCATCATCAGCTGTCTTATTGGCTGCACCACTATTTTCATCCATGCCATAGTCCAAGAAATAACTCCTTTCTTAACAAAGCAGAAGTTTTCTCTATTATGGTTTTTCCGTTCATACAAAGCCTCTATTTTAGATATTTAGTTACATAACTGCTACTATCGATCCATGATTGCGATTGCAAATGTTTGCATTTATTTACATATGCTATAAATTGCTCCCATTTATCAAAATATGCATTCCGAATGGAGGCGGCCAGACCCGGGCCAAACATTTGATGCATCAGGTTAAATGCCCCCCTCCCCCTATCCGCTGTCCACGGACATGTTCGGATATGTCATTGGATGCTATATGTTAAACCCGGTCATTGCATGTACGTAGACCTTTGTATATTGTTGTAACTACCTCCTAGCTTTGAGGATCACAACCACTCTCCACGTTGGCCTGCGTGCCGTGTATCATGGGAGACGTTGGGTGATCCGGCTATTTGTACCTCTGTAACTCTTGCCATAATGCAATATGACAGCACAGTGAGCACCCTCTCCCTTTAGCTTGGTATCAATCGCCATGGCCTTCGAGAACATCTTCGGAGAGCCCCCATCTCCGGCCATCCCCTCGTCCTCCCCTGGACCTCTCCTTCCCTTTCCCCGAGCATCACCGCTGCCCTCTCCTCGAACCTCACCCCAGTCCTTCCTTCTGCCCTCGCTCCCCCTGTCGTATGATACATCTCCAACGTATCTATAATTTTTGATTGCTCCATGCTATTTTATCTACTATTTTGGACTATATTGGACTTTATTTTCCACTTTTATATTATTTTTGGGACTAACCTATTAACCGGAGGCCCAGCCCAGAATTGTTGTTTTTTTGCCTATTTCAGTGTTTCGAAGAAACAGAATATCAAACGGAGTCCAAATGGAATGAAACCTTAGGGAACGTGATTTTCTCACCGGACGTGATTCAGGAGACTTGGACCCTGCTCCAAGGAATAACAGAGGTGGTCACGAGGGTGGGGGCGCGCCCTCCCCCCTGGGCGCGCCCCTACCTCATGGGCCCCCTGTTGCTCCACCGACGTACTCCTTCCTCCTATATATACCTACATACCCCCGACAGATCAAATACGGAGCCAAAAACCTAATTCCACCGCCGCAATTTTCTGCATCCACGAGATCCCATCTTGGAGCCTGTTCCGGAGCTCCGCCGGAGGGGGCATCCACCACGGAGGGCTTCTACATCAACACCATAGCCTCTCCGATAAAGTGTGAGTAGTTTACCTCAGACCTACGGGTCCATAGTTAGTAGCTAGATGGCTTCTTCTCTCTTTTTGGATCTCAATACAATGTTCTCCCCCTCTCTTGTAGAGATCTATTCGATGTAATCTTTTTTTTGCGGTGTGTTTGTTGAGACCGATGAATTGTGGGTTTATGATCCAGCTTATCTATGAATAATATTTGAATCTTCTCTGAATTCTTTTATGTATGATTGAGTTATCTTTGCAAGTCCCTTTGAATTATCCGTTTGGTTTGGCCAACTAGATTGGTACTTCTTGCAATGGGAGAAGTGCTTAGTTTTGGGTTCGATCTTGCGGTGTCCTTACCCAGTGACAGAAAGGGTTGCCAGGCACGTATTGTATTGTTGCCATCGAGGATAACAAGATGGGGTTTTTATCATATTGCATGAAGTTATCCCTCTACATCATGTCATCTTGCTTAAGACGTTACTTAGTTTTTAACTTAATACTCTAGATGCATGCTGGATAGCGGTCGATGAGTGGAGTAATAGTAGTAGATGCGGAATCGTTTCGGTTTACTTGTCTCGGACGTGATGCCTATATACATGATCATGCCTAGAAATACTCATAACTATGCTCAATTCTATCAATTGCTCAACAGTAATTTGTTCACCCACCGTAGAATACTTATACTCTTGAGAGAAGCCACTAGTGAAACCTATGGCCCCCGTGTCTATTCTCATCATATCAATCTCCATTACTTTAATACTTGCTTTGTTTTTACTTTGCCTTTTACTTTTCACTTTGCATCTCTATATCAAAAATACCAAAAATATTATTTATCATCTCTATCAGATCTCACCCTTGTAAGTGATCTTGAAGGGATTGACAACCCCTAATCGCGTTGGTTGCGAGTAGCTATCGTTTTGTGCAGGTACGAGGGACTTATGCGTGGCCTCCTACTGGATTGATACCTTGGTTCTCAAAAACTGAGGGAAATACTTACTCTACTTTGCTGCATCATCCTCTCCTCTTCGGGGAAATCCAACGCAGTGCTCAAGAGGTAGCAAGAAAAATTTCT